TGCTGACTGTATTTGGATGTGACGACGGTAAGGTGTTTCTTTTGGACAACAAGAATCTGAAGCGATGCTATCTTTCCTCAACGATAGATGCTTAAAAAAGGTGGCTCCCAAAACTGTCACATTTCATCTTGCTCAACGGATTTCTGTTGCTTGTGATTAGGTTTGGATAGTACGATGCTAATAAATGGAATGTTACTGGTGGCCTGATTCATATAGCTGTCGCTAAATCCCTGTGGTAGTGTTTCAATGTTTTTAAATCCACTACTTGAAAATAAATTCTTCTTCAGATATTTCGAGATGAAGTCTCATCCTACTATATGAGTAATCGTAAAATGAAAACTGTCCACTTATTTCTAACTCTCTTCAATATTCACTTATTCACAACACTAATTCAATACTAAAAAATGTATGGATTCAAATGAATATTACCATAGATTCATTTGATCATTAATTCAATAATTAACTTGATCTAATGACCGAATTTAATAGTTTTATCATTGAATTCATTCATGATTATTTATTAAGATAAAACTGTAGCCAAATCAATTCACATTTGGAAAAATTTTCATCTTACAATACCAAAATTCAACAGAATTCTATTGAACGACTAATAGAATTACCAGATTTCTTTTTAAAAACAACAATTACATATCATATTCATTTGTTAAATAAGGAGTATTGATAATATGTTATTTTGGGGCAGAGTTTTGGAGGTTTGTGTTTTTACACATTTGAAATCATCAATCAATCATTGTTAGACCACCATTAGAAACCTGGAAGCACTGGACGGCCGTTTCGTCCTGGTCTGGGACTCATCAGCAGTGCGCATCCACGACTCCTGCTCCCTGCAGGATTCGAACCCAGCCGTCCAGTGCTTCCAGGTTTCTAACAGTAGTCTAACAATGATTGATAATATGTTCATCGAAAACAATACAAATATTCACATTTTGATATATTCTTATCAACACATGGTGTCGAGAATTGTAGACAGACATGAAAAGAATGAATAACAATTAGATAGACCAGGAATGGGACACCCTGGACAGAGTCGACTGAAGCATGCTGGTCGGTGGTGGCCTATACTCTCCACAAGGGGTAACAAGCTTACGTAAATAATGAGTAATATTCCTGTCAGTTATTGAAAATGATAAATTTGTATGGGAAATAGTTTATAAAGTGAATAACTCATTCTGTAAGCTTTATTATCACCATAAGTTATCTTTTTCTCTCCAAATTAAAAAAAAACTGTGCTAAACAACACTAAAACACCAACAGTTTTCGTTTAACTTTGATTATTGAAAGAAAAATGTAATATTTGTACAATAATATAAACATATATTAATAATATCGTGTCCACTCAAGTGAATGATTGGTTACAGTGTACCATAATGATTACAAAGTGTTCATATGGAGTTGTTCATTTTATCGAAATTCAAACATGACATAGAATTGTATACATTTTAACTATGTAGTTAGATCTCTTCATCTTATATTATACTAAATAAAAGTGATATTTTAATTTGATAAACAGTACTGTCAATCAATTAATATTCAATATTATTAATTCAAAGAATCTGTTCTAATGACATAATTGCGTAGTTCTAATCTATAATCAGTAATTCATAGTTAAAAATTAATTGTTTCTCTTAAATTATTTTAATTAATTATCAAAGAAGATTGTGTAGTGGAGAATATTTGTAACTTAGGTGAATGATTATAATGGAGTTTCGTTCTCTGATTATGAAGCTTTCACTGTTCTTCTGAACAACATCATAAGCATAAACTCCAAGTAGACGGATTACTACTCTACAACTAAAGCATATTCAACTCAGAGAACAAAAACTTCACCATAACTATGTAATGATTAATAAGAAACATTTTTTTAAAAATTTAAATCAACATCGAAATGACTGACAATTAAAATAACCCATTGTATATGTCAGTGAATAACAATGTCAAGAGTTTAACTATATCATTTCAGAATTTTCTACTATCACTGGATAATTTTTATAAAACTCTTCTATTTTAGACCATTATGTAAAAGATTATCTACCAATAAAAGTGTACAACTCCAGAAAAAGTGATATCGTTGAAAAGAAAAAATCTTCTTCATTGAATTCTCTTCATTTTGATTTAGCAATACTGACGATTTTAAATAAGTCATATTGATAATTATTACTTTTGTAAGAAATATTTCAACGATTATAGTATTCTGCTATCAACAATTAGTCTGTAAATATTGATATTACCATTAATTAATTTAATTTTGGAAGTACAGTATTCAGATAATAAGATTCGTTTTCGTGTATGACCTATTGTGTGCTAAAGTTCTTAACAATTCAGCACTCAATTGATCTCTTAACACTGAACACTGAATAAACAGTTACCACAGAGAAAATCAACCCTTCAGCAGATTTTTTCAGCATAAAGCCTAATTAAAATCCCAAACTTTAAACCATAAAATATTGACAGTATAACTTGTGAAGTATTTGTATCATATAGGTTGAAATGATAATAGTTTGAAGAAATAGAAAAAAAAATGGTCAAGTTTTATAACAAATGAATAAATCAAAATGGATAATATTCCCTTAAGTTTAAAAAATTCACTTTAATTTTCACGAAGAATAGGTCAATGAATTACAATAGGGTTATTCACTTAGTGAACTGAATAACCCTTATGACCATATTCTAAAATGAACTGAATAACACATGAAACTGTTCTCGTGAACGGCTACTATGCAGTTATGTTATTTAACATTGTTCTACTGTCGAATATCGACAATAGTGAATGTAGAATAGGATGAAGTGACTGTCCAATCAGTCTTAATTAACATAAACACTAGGCACGTATATTTCTTTGACATATCAGCACTAACAAACGACAATGAATCGAGGTCGAAACGATAAGACTACAAAATGATAGTCTATTTCCGGAAAGAGAAATGAGAATGTATCCATAAAAGGAGATGCGGAAACTCATAAAACAAACTAATATAAAATATGAATGAATCTTTGTAACTGTGATTAATTCTAAGTCATCACTGATTGTGGTTATTATACAAACCGTAACTAAGTAGCCCCCCCTTTAACACTATGATATTTAGATGAACATAATGAACATCTTAAACATACGCATATTTTTTCTTTATTTCGGTGATCCACATATTCTAAGTCGATTAGTGAACTTTCTTTGTAAGAGATCTGAACAGTTAGATGACTAGAGTGAACAGACGTCTATTACTTCCTAAAGTTGACATTTAAGAAGGATGCCCTTCAATCATCTATTGCAAATTTAATCGATTACATTTTATAATTTAATTAAATGTTCCACTATCTATCGACAGGATTATTTATCCTTATAGATTATTAAATTTTATTATTACACTTAAAATTCTAAATCAAATGCAATTTCTTAACCCTTGTTTATTATAAACATGTGAAAATTTTCAACCATTTTTTTTCATCTGTCATAAATAACTTTTGATTTCACAACATATGAAATTTTAATTAGTTATCTGAATCATTTTTTTTTTAATTATTGAAATACTGTAACCAGTAGATTTAAGAAAGAAAAAAAACACAATTTCCAACACAGATTAACTAGTAAATAATGGAATATAATCAACTGACAAGCACTATATACAAAAGTATTAAGCGCATATCCTAAAATTAACCTTGGTAATATAGAATAGATGGAATACATCTAGTAGTGGAATCCAGGATGAATGTTTCATCCCATTTGGTACTCGTCAGCTGGACGTATCTGTATCTTAGAGTTGATGTTTCCTTAGAGACTCGATCCTAGTACGCTGTGCTTCAGACACCAACGCGTTATTTACTTAGCTACTGAGTCCACATAGCCATTCACTTGTGCAACGGGTATGTGATTTAATTCAATTCGAAATGGTCTCAGTTATCACGTTGTTGGTATTTTTCATCGGTCTTGGGTTCGAGTTCCGAAGTAAGCATCATTTGGAGGATACAGGCACATCCAGCTGACTAGTTGTAAATAAAAGAGAACGCTCGTCCTGCTAGCCATATTTCATCTATTCTAATATCAACTTGTGTTGAACTGGCTATGTCGAGGGAACCACTCATAGGATGTTTATATATCAACTAAGTAAGTGGGATGAGTAATGTGTCAACTAGTTTAACTTACATCATTAATCATTACGACACAACATAGTGATAGGAAATAGAAAAAAAAATTAACAATGAAGCGAATAAGTGCATCATAATGAATGCAAAACTTTTTACATTAGTATTTACTTAATAAGATCAAAAGTATTTAGTAGTAATCAAATGTAAACATTTCAGTTTTATTGATTAATTTAGAACAAGTAAATAAACTGGTTCAAATAATAATCGTCGATTGATACAAAATCAATATTGAATTAAGTTGAAATGATGAATAAAGTGTAGGTTGTTAGTTATTTTTGCTGTTGATCATAAAAATATGCATTTGACTAAGCTGATACACCCACACATTTAATAAATCGGGATAAAACAAACAATGATAAATGATAACTTCATCCAAGTATCTTGGATAGTGTAAAGAAACACCTAACTACGACTTAAAGGTAAGCTCTCACTTGTGATTTACAATGCCAAAGAACATATTACCCCCAAGATTAGAAGCAGGCATGAAAAGAATAAACATCAGTTGGGTAGAACCCAGAAAGGAAGGTCCAGGATAGAGTCGACAGAGACGAATGCTGGTCGGAGACCACCTCGAGGTAATAACAGCCGTAAGTCAGTCAGTATACATGGTAATGAGAATGATTCAGTTGTTGAAAATAATAATTTTTTTTGCTTAAAAATAGAAAACAGAATAGGAATGTCTGTATGAAGTATTGTACAAGGTTAAGATTTCGTGATACATCACTTCATGTTTCCAGACAATGAACCGCAATATCACTATTATCATTATTATTATGATCATTATTATTATTATTATTATTATTATAGTAATAATCATACTAAATGTCTAAATGACTTACTTTATTTAATTCATTCATAGTTGGCAATGAATTTGTTGATAGATAATGATAATTGTTAATATTATCAGAGAGTTTATGTAATTTTTTAAATTTTTGTAGATTATAATTATTTGATGATAATTGTAATTGTCTTATTCCATGTTGTACATAATGTTCTGATAGTTTCATTGAATCTGAACTAATATAATCACAAAATAAACATTGATGTTTCATTAAATTTAAATAATGATGATTATGTAATTTTTGTAAATGATATAATGATGATGAATGCTTTGTATGTTTACTGAATGGCTATTTCACATAATGATGTTGATAATGTTGTATGTTGGCTGTTTGTTGATAGTGTTATTGTAGTCGATGGCATCGATAATGTAGACGAGGATGTGGATGATGGAGGTGACAGTGAGGATGGTGATAATGTGGAATTATTACCACATAATTGACCTATAAATAAAATTTTTATATATGGAGATTGAGAATTTTTGGCATCATTGAGAATTGGTTCTTCGTTTTCATTATTTTCAGTATTATTAATATCATTACCATTATTATCATTAATAGAGGTTGTAGTAACAGTAGTAGTAGTGTTAGTAGTAGCTTTGGGATCAGTAGATTCATCAGTATCAGTCTTATTATTATTATTATTATTATTATTATTATTATTATTATCAGTATTATCATTAACATCATTCTTACTAACATCCTCATTTGCATTTTGATCAAGATTATCGACAATCTGTGTTTCCTTATCATCAATTGGATGAGTAGTAGTCGGTATACAACTGATATTTTGAATAATTCCATTCGGATCAATCATCTCGGAGTTATTATTGTCACAATGTTCAATGTTTGGTGAATTTCTCTGTTGCAAATCAACAATTTTACAATCTGACAATGAATCATTTGGTGATTGAGTTCGAAATAATTGAATTGTAGTAGATTTATCCAAATTTTTATGACATATATCAATATGTCAATTAGGAATGTTTTACATGAAGCAATTTTTCGACATTTTGAACATTGATATAACATAAAATCCACACTTTCATTTGCATGTTCATGATTGAAATGAATTTCCAAATGATTTAACCAATGTGTATGAAAAGAACATAATGGACAATGTAGGACTAAGACATCGGATGCATCAAGTAATGGGAGTAGACCCATGTTTTAGTGTTGATGTTTTTTCTTCGTCTGTATTTTTCTATTTTTTTTTTGAAAATTCTCTCAAGAGTTAACAATTTCGAATTGTTCTATTATTATTTTGTACAGCCACAAAATTGTATAAATTTCTATTAGGTAATAAATAAATAATCAGAGAATTTGTAAATTTTTCATATCGTATTTCATCCGTTTTCTAAATCAATGAATTTAAAAATGGATAGACTACAAATTTCATGTTTCTTTGATAGTGGCATTCTGACGACGTGTCAAATAGCGTCAGAAGCTACACATATGATAAAGTTAGGGGGTGAGAGATAGTAATCCACTATAGTAGTATATTGAGCAAACAATAGTTTGACGCACCACTTGTATATCGCACATGTAGAAAACTTTTGTGGGGGAGATAAAAACTTGTCCGTATACGTGTGTTTTCGCGCTCACTTCCTAGGGTTGAGGTATATACACTGCTGTCACCCTGTCTATCAAACCTGCCTTACTCCGATTGGCACCCTACAGCTGTCACATGACACATGCGGCAGCTCATATGTCATTCGACGAGATAGGTGCGTTCGTATGTGATACATGGCACGAATGGCAATAAGTGAGTGGGTGTGTAATCATACCACACAATGAATATCATACGCTTTAACTAATTTTCAAGGGGGGGGGCGGTGTGAACATGTCTCGAGTAAGCAAGGTCATGACATATATTTTAGTGTATGTGTTTTCTACAGGGGGCAGACAAATTAATAGCTAGTTGTCACACTGATTCAATGAAGCAAACTAATCATTTACTCTTGAAGAATATTAGTTCAAGGGGATATTTCCTGTTACAGACTAGAAAAATTAGTGTAGCGGATAAATTGTGAAGTAGTTGACATTGAAAACCTAAACTCTTCTCTATCAGATTATGAGAGTGGATAGGCAGAAAACAACGGATTGTTTTACAGTATGGATTATTTTAAAAATATATCCGATTATTGAGAGGACATGTCATTCAAAATTACTTAAGTAGCTCAAATATTTTACAAGATATATATACAAAAATTCTCATATATAAGTTGATAAGTCATGGTAACAACAAAATATGGGATAAGTGTTATTTCTTTTCTAATCCAACATTTTGTCGCTCTATTATGTGATGGAATCTAGGAGAATACCTACTCCAGCTCATTCGTTTACTGATTTCCCACAAAAACTTGAGGACTATAAGTGAAAAAGATTTTTCAAAAGCATTTTGCTGATCACATTGACAACTATATATTTAAAAAAATAATAAGATCACTGTGTTGTTTTGTGTATGTATTTTTTCTTATCGAACATCACTGAGTAGTGGCTGATATCAGGTCTGTCTAATAAATTAATGTTGATAGAATTCTGTTGATTAAGTTGAAATATTGCTACTAGTTTGAATAGATAACGACTAGTTTGACACAATGGTTCAAGCACCTTGACATTAACACAGTTTGATGTCGGCTAAGTGGTCAAGGGACTAAGCGTTCGCAGCGCGAGAGCGAAGACCCTGGTTTCCATTCCCATGGCGAGAATCGTGAACGCGCACTGCTGAAGAGTGCTGCACTAGGACGAAAATGCAGTTCAGTGCTTACGAGTTTTTAATGGTGGTCTGAACATGACTGATTCAGAGTCTCAATGTTATTCTTTCTTTTATACATTGTGAGATGAACACTCATAACTAAACATTTATTGTATCATACAATAAGATTGACAAATCTCTCAGAAAAACATAATGTCAAATAGTCAGTCAGTGTCAAAATCCAATACTCCATGATATTTTATATAGTAAAAAGAATGAAAATTCGTACTATGTTTACTTAGAGAAATGAATTTTGAATTACTTGTTTTAAATGTTTAGTTAAATGGCTTGTAAAGATGATTGACACCATAAATCGGTCATTGTTAGAGGACCATTTGAAACCCATCAACACTGGACAGCCGTTTCGTCGTAATATAGGGCTCATCAACAGTATGCACCAACGATCCCCACTCTTAAGAAACGAACCTAGGACTTGTCTCGTGCACGAACGCCTAACCTCTTGCCGACATCCAACAGCCTGAATGTCTAACTTTACTCAATCTAAGGTATCACACAACCACATGCTTTGTCTTTGGAAGGCAGGAGCCTCACATCCAACAGGGTTGATCTCCACTGGTCTTGGCCATCCAGTGCTTCGAGGTTTCTAATAATGGTCTAACAATGGTCGATTCATGATTTCAATGAAACTCAGCAGTTCTATTATGAAAATTTTAAAGATCAGTTTGAACATTGCTGAAATAACCATTGAGAATTTAATGTTTTTGAAAACAAAGTTTGAACTGCCTTCACTTACATTCTAATGATGTATGTTTTAATATAAGTGAAGATAAAAGAGGACAGTTTAAACAGTTTCCTTCTTTTATAAATACTTTTTTACGAATATTATTTTCTAAATTACATCTAGTGATAATCATTATTAAAATTAATAATCACACTTTTAATGATTAATTTTTACCTTAGAAACTTGAAAAAAAAAATTTCGAAAAAGGAGGAAAAAAGTGATTGTCCTTTATTCTGATCACGCCTCATTGACTTTTACAATCATCAAATGTTAGGTGAGAATTTTCACACTTGACTAGTGTTTCGTCAACACATATTTCAATTATATTGTCATGACAACAGGAAGATCGTAATTTTTCGAAAAAATATGGTTGGGTAATGACACAACATATTATTATTATTATTATTATTATTATTATTATTACTATATGGTTTGAGTAAGATCAGTTTTCATAGCTAAAATGATAAACTGATCTTAACTAGACCATTGTTTCAAAGCTGGGGCACTAGATGGATATTTCTTCCTCTAATGGCACCCCTCAGTAGTACACATCCATGACTTCACCATCATATATTGAATTCGGGGATGTGTTTTCGTTCCCGAATTGTTCACCTCTAGACCACTATGTCAGCATCCAATGGTGTACATGTCTAGCTTCAATCATTTCAACTAAAGTTAACTGAATGAAGTAAATAATCGTCTCATACCCATTATTTTTAATCGCCACTGGTCATTACTTCTCAGTAACACCCGTAGGATTGGCATCTTGAAGCTGGTCACTAAAAAAGCCACATATTCATGAACAATAGGAGGTTTTACTGTCTATAGGTTAAGCTTTTACACATGAAGTAGAAGGTTCTGAGTTCAATTCTTGGAAATGAGTACGTGGACTTAACTGATTAAAAGTTTGGAAGATAAAACTTCTATTCAATATCTCTACATTTTCAATAATCATCTATTTAAAATTGGTTTTGTTATTTAAACAATAGATTTTCCTACAATTTCCAAAAATTCTTTTATTAAAAACAAGATAAAGTTTATTCATATTGGTTTGAATGATATTTGATTTAATAAAGTTTAAATTTATATATTCATAATTCATTACGAAAATACTTTCATAATTATGATTTGATAGTACTTGTATACTTGGATTATACCTTCCTGTTGTTAATATCTAAATGTCTCTAGTTACGATCTTAACTGAAACCACACAATACCATTGTTTAAATGTAGGTTTTTTTTGGTAATGCTGGATTGTAAATGAATAGATATATCAAGGTAGTTCACATATATGAAATGGCGGAGAAGATTTGTAGTTCAGGTGAATGATTGTGATGGTGTTTCGTTCTCTGAACTGGATGTTTTGGTTGTAGAGCTGTCATTGTTCTTTTGAACAACATCATCAACACACACTTCAGAAAGCACCACAACCAAAACATCCAGCTCAGAGAATGAAACACCACCACAATATATGAAGTATATACGTTAATTTATGTAATTAGATAATGGTCATTCATTATGTTAGGAAGATGAAGACAACTGGAAATAAATGCTGAACCTTAGTTTTGTCTTCATCTACTCGAATCTATTCATTAGTGAATACATGATTGTTGAATTCAGTCAGTCAGAAAGAATAGTTTATAAGTCGAATAAATTTAAGAATATGTGAGTCGTTAGATTCTGACATTTAGTTCCAATATATATTAAACTGAAACAAATCATCTACTCATTGAACTCTTTATGTTTATCAATGAAAAACATTATTTCAATATTTATTATTGTCGGTTAAAATAATTGTACATTGAACCAAGTAGTTATTTATTTGAACATTGACTTTTTGAATTATTACACTATATATTTTTGACAAATAACTAATCGATTTGATAAAATTAGTATTCTGACTAATTTTATATCATATTTATCATTAAAATTTCTTTTAATATAAATCTAATTAGATTAAAAAGTTATTTTTTTTATCTACGTAATTAATTTTAAAAGCTTTTTTAAAATTTAGAGAAAAGCTACGACGAATAACCTTTTTTCCCAATAATCAATATTACTGAGATGAGAATAACGATAATCGAAGTTATTTTATTGTTAAAATTTCTTTCAGAAAATAAAACTGTCTTATATGAATTGTTAACTGATATTAATCAATAAAGATGAATTGATATTCACTGTTAGACTTGAACCAGTGTCAATCATTCTTACCATAGAACTGAAATGCTGAAACATTTAATCTAATGAACACAAAGAAGCAACTGGTTATCATCAGTGACTGGTAAAATAACAATACTGTTAATTTATGTTCTGTATAATTATTCATAGTCAATATTGGTTAGTCGGTAGGAAATTCTATTCGACCTAGGTTGTTTTTTGTTGATAAACAGTACTTTTCAGACAGATATACTTGTAATCGTAGAGGAAATGAGACTTTTTGTAGGAGTTCATTGTTAAAACCGTTATCACTAAGCTATTCGGGCTATAACTGACTTGTTGAAATAGGAATTTCACTGTTAACCTTGTTTATTCTTTGAAAATTCCACCCTCTCTCTTCCATTTATAGTCTTTTTTCGTTAACATTCATAACAATCATGTTCACTTGTCAATATATATAATTGAAAATTTTTAAAGTTATTTGACATATCGTATTTTTTTTGTTTGTTTAGCTTTGTCATTCAAGAAAATAACTGAAAAAAACACACAATCGAACAGTTCATATTGAATAACCTTCATAGATATGTAATAATAATAATAATAGTAATAATAATCGTAATTAATATTACAAAGTAATTAGACATTAACTCCCTATCATTTGTCAAATAGACATTTCATATTAATTAGAAATTAATTAATTATATTCGAAATATTGTTTAAAACAAAATACTTGTCAATTTTATTTAAATAAGACATAAAAATCAATAGGACAGTGAATAGTATAGTATAAGCATAGTGAATGAAGAGATTTTCATTGAAAAAAATGAAGACAATATTTTTTATTTTTAAAAAAGGAATAGTTTTTGTTTCGCCTGTAAGACAATAAAAAATTTTTTTCAAAAATAAAAATAGACAAATGATCAATCATAATCAAAATAATAATAATAATAATTTTTGACATAACAATAATATCACTGTGTAAATGAATATGCATGATTAATGAATAAGGTTATTAATTAGGAATATTTATCGAGTTAATCAAATCACTTATTGAAATAGATCATCACTGGCGCAATCAAATGTTAGTAGTTGATTGAATTAAAAATAATAATAATAATAATAATAATAATAATAATAATCACTGGAATCAGAAATGATGTTAGTCAGTCAATAAGGTACAATGTAGAACTTGGCATGCATGTAATATCAGTTCAAGTTGTCATGTCATATTAGCACAGACAGAAGTGGAATGGTTAGTTCGAATGCCATAGTAATAGAGGTTATAGCATTAATAGAAAAGATCAGGGGCTGAAGATATGATTCGAAAATTGTAATCCAGTGAAATAAATTTCAAAAAAAAAGAGAAAAGAAGGGTGATGAGGTATTCGAAAACTTAGATTTTGGAAGTAGACAAAGAATGGATGCATTTATGCTATTCAAAGTCTTTATCCACCGGTTACGATTGTTTCGGGGAGCCAACCAGGTAGTCTACACCTAATAACAAAGATAAATCCGACTGGCGAGGACTTGATAGATTGGTGCTATGTTTTGGTTTGGTCGCTCTAGCTTTCTTCCAGCCTACTCGTATACCAGGTAACATCAATCGTCAAAGTAGTCGGCGGCTGGGCAAAATTAGCACATATCCTACTATTTTGATAACTGGTTTGCTATCCTTACGTAATACCTTATTCCTAACCCCGGCACTGTTTACTTGGGGGTCTCAGAATACACGAGAAATTTTTCGAAGACACTGATGATCGAATAATAATAACCTGAATATATCCTTTATTTTTAGTGGTCATGCTCCACACACTTAAAGCAGAACGAAGCAACGTGCTACGCAGTAAACTCGTCCTTTGGTTAGAAAACAGATATCTCAACCACATCAAAGTGATGTAATTCGCTAAAATCCAGTCGATCTTTCCGTATCCGTGCTGAGATTTCATCAGAGAGCGGGCCCTAAGGGCTGATCATATCTATTGCATGTATTATTATTGGTAAATGAACTACAGGTATTAAGTTCGACTTCATGTGAATTTGTGATTTTTGATGAATAATAAACCGCAATTAAAAATGGAGCAATTGTCTAGTTCTCAGTGATTATTAAATTGTGTTAATATATGTCTAATTTAAACTCCGCCTGCAGTCCCTCTGAAGCTTCTGCTGGTCCCAAGCTCGGATAAAGCAAAAGGGTTAGGCATGGGGTTGGCCACCCCATCCGGTAGAAAACTAACTCCCTAAAAAAACGCTAACTAGAAAACATCATTCAAACCATTTTAACTCTGCTCTAGGAGTTAGAATGTCTTCTTTCAAAAGAATTGTGACATCTCATGATGAAAGCCGAGTTCCCTCGGAAGTCAGTGAGGCTAATGCCCCTTCTGAAAACCAGAGCAATCATTCTTCTAAGTACATGGAACGTTCGAACATTGTGAGAGATTGGAAGAATATTTCAAGTTGCTGCAGAAATGAAAAGATACAGCCTGGAGGTGCTTGGAATCAGTGAAACGCATTGGACACAGGTAGGACAACTGAGACTAGCATCAGTGCAACTGCTGTTATACTCTGGTCATGAACAGGAAAATGCTTCACATACACAAGGAGTTGCACTGATGCTATCTAAACAAACATAAAAGGTACTAATTAGATGGGAATCTCATGGACCAAGGATCATCAAAGCATCCTTAAAAAAAAAGAAAGAGGACATCACAATAAACGTCATCCAATGCTATGAACCTACCAACGACTACAATGACGACGTTAAAGATCAATTCTACAAAAGGCTGCAGTCAATCGTCGAGATGTGTTGAGCAAAAGATTTGACTATTCTGACGGAATGGACAACACTGGATATGAAGACATCATGGGACGACATTGACTAGGAGAAAGGGACGCAAATGGTGAGGGATTTGCAAACCTATTCGCCTTCAACAAAATGGTTATAGGCGGAATCATATTCCCACACAAACGCATACACGAATCTGCATGAGTTTCACTTGATCAAAGTACACAGAACCAAATCGATCATATCTACACCAGTAAAAAGTTCTGAAGGACCATGGAGGACGTGAGAACCAAGAGAAGATAACATAGCTTCAGATCATCACTTGGTAGATGCCAAGATAAAAACTTGAACTCAAAGAGCACTGGACAACGGGAAGGACGAAATCACAAAAGTTTAATACCACCTTTCTTCAGAATTCTGGTAAAACCAGTACGACCAGATAAAAACAGGGAGGGCAACGTAATCACCGAGAAGCGAGAAGAAACTTTTGAATCGACTAGTCCCATTGGAATCACTTAACATCGAAGCAGCACCCGCGGAACTCTCAAGCAATTATGATTCATCAACTATTGAGGCGATCAGAACGGCCATCAGACAAATCAAAAGTGGTAAAGCAACAGGACTAGACAGCATTCCAGGCGGAGCATTAAAAGAAGATAAAACAGTAACTACAAATATACTCCACATTCTGTTTAGCAAGATTTGGGATGAAGAACAATTACCAACTGGTTGCAAAGAAGGACACCTCATCAAGATAACAAAGAAAGGCAATCTCAGCAAGTAAGAAAACTGTAGAGACATCACTCTACTATCACTACTAGGGAAAGTCTTTGGCAGTGTTGTTAAAATGAAGGAAGGGATCAATAGACGACCAACTTCAAGATCAACAAGATGGATTCCTCAAGGGCCAGACATGTCCCGACCAAATTGTGACACTGTGGATCAATGTGGAACAACAGTCGAATTCCCCACTGTATATTAACGTCAATGACTACGAGAAAGCATTCGACAGAGTGGACAGGATGACACTGTGGAGGCTTTTTTGAAACTACGGTGTGCCAGAGAAAATGGTCGGCCTAATACGGAGTTCTTACGATGAATTAAACTGCGAAACAGTGCATGGAGGACAGCTGACAGACTCTTTCGAGGTCTCAGGCAAGGTTGCTTACTCTCACCTTCTCTCTTTCAGCTGGTGATTGACTGGAATATGAAGACTTCAACATTTGGAGGGAAGTACGGGATACAGTGGACAACTAGAATGCAATTGGATGGTTTGGACTTCGCAGATGATCTGGCTCCTCCATCACACCCACAACTACAAATTCAGGAGAAGACGATCAGTGAAGCAACAGCCTCTGCAGCAGATCTCAATATACACAAAAGAAAAATTAGAATCCACAGATACATCACAACATTCATTAACGAAGCCACATTTAATGGAGAAGCGTTGGAGGATATAAAAACCTTTGCACAACTGGGCAGTATTATTGACGAGCAAGGTGGATCTGAGACAGATGTGAAGACGCAGATCGGCAAATTGAAAACAACATTTCTAAAATGGAAGAATATCTGGAACTCAAAACAACTGTCAACAAACACCAAAGTCATAATTTTCAATACAAGTGTCAAGACAGTTCTACTGTATGGAGCGGAAACATGGAGAACTACCAAAGCCATCATCCAGAAGATACAAGTGTTTATGAACAGTTGTCTACGCAAAATACTTCGGATTCGTTGGCCAGACACCATCAGCAACAACTTACTGTGGGAGAGAACAAACCAGATTGCAGTGGAGGAGGAAATCAGGAAGAAGCGGTGGAAGTGGATAGGACACACATTGCGAAAAGCACCGAACTGCGTCACAAGACAAGCCCTCACTCGGGGCCCTCAGGGCAAAAGGAAAAGAGGAAGGCCAAGGAACACATTACGCCGAGAAATAGAGAAAGATATGAGAGGAATGAACAAACATTGGACAGAACTGGAGAAGGAAGCCCAGGACAGAGTTGGCTGGAGAAAACTGGTGGGCGGCCTATGTTCCATTGTGGGGTAACAGGCGTAAGTAAGTAAGTAAGTAATGAAAAATAATAATTCATACGATGCTTTAGAAAAATTAATCTTTTTTTTAACCGATCAAATAAAACTTAAAATGTAATAATATCTTACAAAATAATTACAATTAAAATTATAAACTGCATGGTAGTTCTCATTGAAACGTTTAAAACATGTTCATTATTAAAATGAATTTTTGAAGTGAATAAAAACAATTAGATTGAAGTGATAAATTATTCAATCTTATCTACTATATTTACAATAAATCTTTGATTAAAATTATCTTTTGATTATTTGAAAATCTACATTGAATGATTCTGATGAAGAAGTAGAAGAAGAAAACAACTGAATCTTTTTTTTTTAAAAAAAATTGTGTATTGTTTCTTCTATAGACTGTGACCTGACTGGGAAAAAAGAAATACAATCTATACATTTATTTGCATTGCTTGACCTTAAGAAAAAAAATAGGCACATTTATTTTATGAGTACATATACAATTGTGTTGAAGTACTTTTTTTTGGGGTGAAACTATCTAATTCTTTTTTTTTTAAACTTAAAAAGAAAATTGAGTATCTTCTCATTTATATGTTATTGTTTAAAAAGAAAAATATATCTATTCACTTAAAATATTGTTCAATAATCAATTTTTTTAAATATACGTGTATGTTTGAAATGGTGAAGAGAATTTTAGTAGCGCAGGTGGATGATTATGAGCTCAGAGAACGAAACTTCACCACGTGTACATATATCAGTGTGTTACATCGTAGTTCGATAAACATTTGTTCAACTTGTCTACAACACCTGAATTTCAATTTTACAAATGACCTAAATAAAATATTTCTGTTAAAAAAAATAAACAATCAATGTATCAGTAAGAATGTGTATATTTAGAATGCCATACTATGGAAGATCCCATTTGATTTGATATAATAGAAGAAAAAAGATGACATTTATTTGGGTCAGAATGACAGGTGTGAACTTTATCATCATTCAATATGACATGTTAAAGTCAATTATTTCTTGTAACAATTCAGTGTAGACTTCGTTTATCATTATTATTATTATTATTATTATTATTATTATTATTATTATAACAAATGTGAATGTTTGTGTCAGTGTGATTTTATCTTCTATGTATCATTTCAGTGTATGTTTTTATAGTAAATCTATATGTTTTTCTCTATACGTGATATTACTGTATGTGAAAATTTGTATATAAATAAATAGGTGTTTCTTGATCTAATCAGAATGTGGTTTGGGGATTTGTTTTGGAAATGTGTCATTGGGTAGTCAATCAATTTTCATTGTACTAGTCTTTCGTGTTCTTTCTTGGTGTCATGGGAATTGTAGTGATTCCTGTTTCAAAGTATAAGTAGTAAGACAGAATCGATACGAACATTGTAGAGATGACACGACAGATAAAAGGTAAATCGGTAACTGAGACATTGCGATATATTAACCATTATTAATATTACTGATTTTTATAAAAAATAATTAAAATGATTCAGATTATCTGTGAAAAATAATGTTACACTGAATACACTCACCATTGAAATTGATATGATACGTACAGCAGAATTCTTTGACTTACTTACTTACTTATGCCTGTTACGCCCAATGGAGTATAGGTCGCTGAGCAGCATTCTCCAACCTACTCTGTCCTGGGCTTCCTTGCCCAGTTCCCTTTCCACTTTTGTTCAATTTTTGTTCTGTCGTCTCATGTCTGTCTTCATTTCTCGGTTTCATGTGTTCTTTGGTCTTCTGTTTCCTTTCAGCATTGAGGATTTCAAGTGAGGGCTTGTCATGTGATGCAGTTTGGTAATTTCCTCCAACGTGTGTCCTATCCATTTACTGCTGTTCTTCCTGATTTCTTCTCACTCTCCCATAGAAGGTTGTTACTGATGAAGTATGGCCAAAGAATCTGAAGTATTTTGCGCAGACGACTGTTGATACACATTTGTATTTTGTCGATGATGGTTTTCGTAGTCCTCCAAGTTTCCACATCATATAGTAAAACTGTCTTAATATTTGTATTGAAAATTGTGACTTTGATGTTGGTTGATAGATGTTTTTCCGGGTGTTCTTTGATTGTAGAAATGTTGTTTTTCCTTTGCCGATTGGCTCCTTCATTTCTGCATTAAATCCATCGTGATCATCAATGATGCTGGATTTGTAATTGCATGTGCGATATAAAGAATAGACAATTAGGAAATGTTTCATTCCTTCTCTTATTGTCCAAAGTAATTACAAATATATCAGCAAGTATTTTTATGTACTAAGTGTCTTGTATCTATAATGGCTTTACCTAGGTTATATAACTGCATTTTATAAGATGGGTTGGGTCGGATTACTGTGAAGATAATCAAAGATTCTTTTTGGTTTAAAGATGCAACCATTTTTCTTTTTCCATGGTGCTTCAAATATACAGTTTGAAATAATGAACTAAAAATCTCATTTATACATTGAACATTTCGATTAAGTTGTATTTAAAGAATAATGAAAGGATAATAAAAACGCTAGAGCGTTTTTCAAAAACATGGATATCCTCTATCATTATTAAGTTCGGTAGAACAAAGATTGCAGAAGATAATACTGGAATTTTATTTTATTTATCGATTGATGGCAATGCGACGAGTGATGGATTTTAAAATTTGGTATATTATCAATTTATTCAGAAATACATTAAGATTTAATTTATATTTAACTTTCAACATTCTCATCCGAATAGAATTTTAATATCTGAATAATACACTTTTTTGAAAAGCAAGCATTTTAATTAAAGTTGAAACTACATTTACTACTACTACTACTACTACTACTACTACTACTACTACTACTACTACTACTACTACTACTACTACTACTACTACTACTACTACTACTACTACTACTACTACTACTACTACTACTACTACTACTATTACTACTACTACTACTACTATTACTACTACTACTACTACTACTACTACTACTACTACTACTACTGCTACTACTACTACTACTACTACTACTATTACTACTACTACTATTACTACTACTATTACTACTACTACTACTACTACTACTACTACTACTACTACTACTACTACTACTACTACTACTACTACTACTACTACTACTACTACTACTACTATTACTACTACTACTACTACTACTACTACTACTACTACTACTACTACTACTACTATTACTACTACTACTACTACTACTACTACTACTACTACTACTACCACTACCACTAATAATAATAATAATAACAATCATATTACTGTGGGATTTGGTTTTTTCAATCTGTTGTCCTTAATTAGTGGTTTATGTGAATTTTATTCACCTTAAAATATCTTCTTATTCAATTGAAATAAAAAAAATCTAAATGAAACAAAAAGTGAATACACGTTTTATTAATTTTTCATTAACATTCTCATTAAGATTAAAAGGAATAATTAAGTATAAGACAGAATTCATGATTGACTAAAACAGAACAAAAAAACTATGAATTTATAAATTGTAAGTAAAAAAATAAACTTCACAGTTTAGATCATTGCCTACAAGTGAACTACAAGTGAAAACTAGGCAGTATTGAATAGTTGGTACGTCTTAATATCGACCCCTGCAAAACTGAGCATCTATCAATCCTTCGAGGGTTGAATCCACAATTTCTGGGTATCATTAACCTTCACAAACTTAATATATTCATAATAATCATTTGACTGTAAGCGACTAATTTCAAAATGTAGTCCCTGTAGATCTAATAGAAAGCAATGACCATATAGAATGTGAGACAGTTACTAATTAATGTGTTTCGAAGTTTATCGTTCAATATCATGAACTGATTGAAGCTAAAAATATGAAGCATTAGGTGTTAATTGAGTGTTGTGTACTGAAGGTGCTAGTCAAATTATCTAAATGTCCTGGATTAGTTGCAGGTGAAAGACGTTATGGGGGTTTCACATGATGACTTGGTAGCTGTCCAGTGATTCTTCGGTTTTTCAGTAGTTATCTTGATTAAGTCCAGTTTGTAACTTAAATTATAAAAAATTCAACAATTTTTTACCAATCGTCAAGCAATTTATATAAGTCTTCTGATAAGATACTAGTGTAGCTCATCCAGACATGTCATTATTAAAAAGCGAATAAGGTGAAACTTAGAGTTTTAAAAATCACATCCTTAACGGAAATTATACATTTGTATGCAGCATTCATTTGTGCATTGAACAACAAAAATGTGTTAAATATTGAATACTGAAAAGCAAATGCACAGCATATTCTTTTACTTCAACTTCCTTTATTCTCTTTGTTTTCCCTACCACTACTTTCTCTTCCTTTTAACTTTTCTTTTCTTCTTGAAGTGTTTTACTTTCAAATCTATTTTCAAGTGATTGAAAATTTCTTCTCTCATAGTCGATCATTGCTGTTTGTATTTCAAAATCACTACATGTCGCTGTCATAATTATTTTCTTTTATTCATCTTCATTTTTGGCACCATTTCTAAGTCTTGTTATTATAGTTCATAATGTGGCGTTAATTTCCTTTATCATTCTCAGGAAAAAAAAAAACAGAATCATTTCGTGTCTTTCATTCTCACCTTTTAAAATTAAATTGCTATTTATGATTAAGTGGTTGAAATTTTATACAACATAAATGACAGAAAATAATCTTACACCTATGTAAATAACACATAATACATAGACGTATAAATAAATCTATAATAGTAAGCAATGAATGATGATAATGACAATTTATGAACGCATCAACCAAACACCAGTAAAACAACTACTAACAAACATCGATTTGTGTTAGGTTGTAGTTGAAGTGCTTTCATTTAGGGAAAAAGGATAATTTTTTTTGAAATGAAAATGAGGCGATTAACACTCAACAAAACATTTAGATGTGTCTACAGAAAATGATGTGATTTCAATTAATGTTTATGTAGATACTACTAGTAATTAAATCGGAGTAAAGGATAGTCTTTTCATTTTTATAAAATAGTCTATATCATTTAGGGAGGATGGGTTTAATAAAAACAAGAGACTATAAATTTATTTCCCTAGTTGAATGATAATTGAGAAAACAATAATCCACTTTATAACACCTCATCTTAAATTCATTTTCATCGAGATGATCATTAATGTCATGAATGTTGTACTGTTCAAATGACAAATTCATGTTCAAATTTCCCACTTGAAATAAATTGAACATTGAATTCATGTTCATATTTCAAAGAGATTGAATTGAGTGGATGAGGCATTAAATGCGGTATGATTCATTTTTTTTATCCATCAAACAATATTTACTTCTTACCACAATAATAATATATCACCAAATCATCATCAATATCATCATTATTACTACTACTAATGACATTAAGAACAAAAAAGATAATTGCATTTACTACTTAAATAATCATTTTGATGATGACTAAATTTTTAGAAGAAAAATAATTTATTCTAGGCTACAGTATACTGAAGCTGATGTAATAACATGAGAGGTGTTGATGAATAGCAAAAAACTGACTAGATAAGGCATGAATATGACAAGGTTATTTAAAGTGATTGTTGTAAAGAAAAAGAAGATTATATGGAAGGAAATTTTCAGTGAATAAAGAAATAATCATTACAGCGATAATGATATTGATGAGGTTAGGAAGGTTATGAAGACAAAAAGCCTGAATAAAAGCATTGCAATAAGAGCAGCAGAAATTTATAGTGAGAAATTCCTACTCCTATGTTCGTCTTCTTGAAAACCGATAAAGTGAGTGAGAAAAATGTATCATCTTTTTTATCACATAGTTTTGTGGATATTTCGTTCATTTTATGTGTATTTTTGTGTTCATGTAGTAGTAGTATTAGTAGTAATAGTAGTAGTGTAGTGAACGAGAACACAGGTGTGGCAACCGGATTGTATTTAACGAAAATTACAGAGTTACTCAGTAAAATAGGAAAACCATATCGTAACCGTTAATTTGCAAATCTTCAATCAATCATCAATCCATTGTCCGACATTTCACTATTCATGCGTTTCATACAAATCCCATTGTGTTTCCGCCTTTCTTTTCTTGATCTTGCCCCATCTTCTGGTGCCAGACATTACGTTTACACTCACGTCATACTCTACTTATAAGTAGCTCGCACCACAGTAGTAGTAGTAGTAGTAGTAACAATAATAATGGTAATATTAGTAGTAGTGTCAGTAGTAACAGCAGTAATAGTAGGCTAACGACAACGGTAATATATTTTCACTTAGTTAATTAAATCGTAATCAGAATGTGAAGAAAATGATGTGGGAATGAGTATTTTTTTCATGAATCCTATTCTATGACATAACTAATAATTCAATTTTCACTATTTGTTTTACGTATACTTTAGTTAATAATTATAAACAAAATAATAATGATCATTATTATCTCTATAGAATTTAAACGAATATGGTAGTTTAAATTTGTCGAAAACAGTCATAGTTAATATTACAGTTTTTTTAAAATTGTGACTTTATAACGGGTAGATGTTGCGTTCTCTGAATTTTTATGAGTCAATCACAGCTTGGAGAAATTATTCCTTCTTAGCTGTGCATAAACATATTAATTATACAGGAGTTGTATCTTTTGGTATGATACATGTTCCACTTTATTTCAAACTCGTTAACTTAATGTCATTCTTTCATTGCATCGATCGATTACACTGAAACTTGAATCATGTATAAGACAACGAATAATTGAATTCAAATAACCGATAACTAGTATAAAGTTATATTTATACAGCTGAACTTTTTATTTCGTTGTACAGATCACAATCTACTGTTGATTAGTCTTCACTGATATGTATTCATTTAGATTCAAAATGAAAATAGTTAATGATTTTTAATTATCAGTAAAAGTCCATTATTTATCATAATTCTATAGTTAATGCTATAAAACACTGTTTTCGAAATATATGCTAAGCTTATTGGATTTTAATAAAGTGTTGAACTAATCTCTTCTCTATTGATCAGTCAGTAAGTTTAGTATAAAATGAAGATTTAATTATAATTCAAAGTCTGATGTGTAACTATTCTCATTATCAAAGCAATCTATATTCAGAATCTATGTATTCTAGATAGTACTTGATAAATTCTAATGTTTAATATCAATAAGAGAATAGTTTAATTGTCTATTCATTTCAATTAATTTTTTAATATAATACAATTTATCAATTTCTATAACCTGTTAATTAATGTTGTCGATGTCATTGTTGAAGTAATAATTTTGTAGAATATCAGGTAAAATTATCGTATACTGATGGTCTTGAGTTAACCAATCAGAATAAATGTAATGTCTGATGTATTTTTGCCCGAAATTAAAAATGCAATGATAGATACCTTGTAGGTTATTATTTAACGAAATAACAACCAGTAGTATTTGATGGTTAAAATGCTTGAAATCAACATATATATCTATCATGAGACCGAAATGTGAATTTAAAGTGACTCTCAAAATAAATTACAATCATACCTGTTCCTAAAGCAGATTACATGTTAGAGTACCTGATGTGATTCACTGCGTGGCAAAAAGTATTTACTGAAGTAGTATAGTATCCGCCCACTCTAACCCTTAATTTAACTCATAATCTGAAGCTTTTTTAATTTGTAAACAGAAGGGCGGTAAAACATTGCATGATAGTTGATGTCAGTGCCTAAAGACAACTCTAACTCTACTTTGTTAACCCAATTCAGAACTCTAGATTAACCATTAATACCTAACGTTAACCTTTTTGCAGTATAGCTAGTGCCAGTTAGTGATGAAAACTTTGTTGGACAATGAGCTTAACACATAAAACTAGCCCGATGTCATCTTTTTTCTTTTACTAAAATGAATAATTCGATATGTGAGCGTTGACTTTTTAGATCAAAGCCATTATTCTACTGTAGCTTGATTAATTATTTCTTGTTGTTTTATAACTACGCTACCGTTTCCCGATTGGCCGATAGGTTGCTGAAGGTCGTCAAAGTGTCACACTGATACCAATTAACGGATAAAGATATCTTCAACAGGAAGAAATTTGTACTTTTTCAACTTCCTTTTTGCTAACAGGATTGCATGTTTAGTTCGTGATCGAAATCTATCATGGTTGGTTGAAAAAAACCCAATAAACATCAGCTAGATGACAAGTTGATCCTCATTCTACATAAAATTTGTTTTCACTACTTTGCAATGTTATTCTAAACTTGTTCTTTTATGTTTATTTCCAACCTAATCTTAAGTTTATTTGTATTAAGTAGATTGAGTACAGTGTTAATAGAATAATTGACAGAGAAAAATATAACACCATTCATGCTTAGGTGTTATTTATAGTTTCATTCAT